TGCTAGTGTTGTCACCTTTTCGAAATCGCTGACCCGGACGGCAGGTGAGGTTTGTTCGAACAGAAGTTCCTGACGCATGCGTAATGTCATTTTGCAATGCAAAGAATAACGTGCAGTGCATGCCGGTTCTAAATCAGTTACAGTTAGGGACTAGGGAGACTTGGGTAGGAGTAACAACTACATTAGAAAAAACAACTACAGCTCTATTGGACATTGGAGACGTGCATGAATATGAATCGTACAAGCAAAAAAAAAAGTTGACAGGTTGTGCATGATATTCCCAGACAAAATTAACAGTTCATCCAGACAGTGAGTCAATTCCAGGACTGTCCGGGTGAAAACCAAACAAGTGGTAACACTATTCCATGCTCATTTCAATCAGTCCGAATCGTAGGTGTGACAAAAATATCAAATAAAATGGTTCAAATTTTTACAAGATATTATTATTATTATTTATTGTGAAATTTTGCCATCCCCTAAAAGGTAATTTTGCTGTCCCCTAAAAAGTGCCGCCCGGGGTGGGCCGCCCCCGCCGCCCCCACTACGGTACGCCACTGATATCAGTTATCATATAAAATAATTTTCCCCCCTTTGAAAAATCTCTGATCAGTTGCAGTTTTTCATAACTGAAATTTAAAAATTATTTAACCTCTTTGTCTCAAAATTTGCTATTCAAGACTAAATTATATTAACTAAAATTAAATTTTTAAATTTCTTTATCAAATTATTCAATAACTGTAAATATAAAAACAAAAATTTAGAAACAAAGTTTTCAGAACTTCCTATATTAGAAGACTGAACAATCTAGGTTCTACTCAATACATTTGTAAATAAGCACACTAATGGGGAAACTATTTAGAAAAATATTTTAAAAAATTATATTTATAAAATTTTAAGAACAAAAGAAATTAACTTTTTGCTGCACCAAGAGAAAAAAAAAAGTTAACTCCAAAGTGGAGGAAGAATAGTTACTTATTGAAATTTAATACAATGTTATTTCTTAAAATCAGCAGATAACTTGCCCTATCATACAGCCAATACCTGCTTTCAAAGTTTACTTCAAACACATGTTATATATATTGCACAAAAATAATAAAAATGCTAAACAATAATATTGTATAGCATTTTTATTATTTTTGTGCAATATATATAACATGTGTTTGAAGTAAACTTTGAAAGCAGGTATTGGCTGTATGATAGGGCAAGTTATCTGCTGATTTTAAGAAATAACATTGTATTAAATTTCAATAAGTAACTATTCTTCCTCCACTTTGGAGTTAACTTTTTTTTTTCTCTTGGTGCAGCAAAAAGTTAATTTCTTTTGTTCTTAAAATTTTATAAATATAATTTTTTAAAATATTTTTCTAAATAGTTTCCCCATTAGTGTGCTTATTTACAAATGTATTGAGTAGAACCTAGATTGTTCAGTCTTCTAATATAGGAAGTTCTGAAAACTTTGTTTCTAAATTTTTGTTTTTATATTTACAGTTATTGAATAATTTGATAAAGAAATTTAAAAATTTAATTTTAGTTAATATAATTTAGTCTTGAATAGCAAATTTTGAGACAAAGAGGTTAAATAATTTTTAAATTTCAGTTATGAAAAACTGCAACTGATCAGAGATTTTTCAAAGGGGGGAAAATTATTTTATATGATAACTGATATCAGTGGCGTACCGTAGTGGGGGCGGCGGGGGCGGCCCACCCCGGGCGGCACTTTTTAGGGGACAGCAAAATTACCTTTTAGGGGGCGGCAAAATTTCACAATAAATAATAATAATATCTTGTAAAAATTTGAAACATCCTAATCTATACTTGCATCGCGCCTACGATAGTGCTATCGTCCAGACAGTCCAGGAATCGGCTTGCTGGGTGAACTAGTGACTTTTTTCATCCGAAGAGCTCAAAGCCTGTTGACCTTTTTTTCTTTTGCTTGTACGATCCATTCACATCCATATACACTACTAATATCCAGTAGAACTATTTTAAACAGGTCGCTGCACTACCACCGAAGTTTTCATTTCTTGTTCTGTGACAAAACTGAATTTTGGTCTTTCAAGTTGAAATACCTAAATAAGGGGGGGGCTGAAATTTTCCTCTGCCCCGGGCGGCTGACAGCCACGGTACGACACTGAGTGCTATTATGGTAACTTATGTAAACAAGTTTTTAGAATATGAATTAATTTAATAACTCATTTTCTGAAATACTATCACAATGCAAAATTGCAAAACTAACATTACTTATCCAAAAAAGCCTTCAGAGAGAGAGAAACGTTTTTGAATAGAAAATATTTAATTATAATGTAGGTGAATTATTTTTACCATATTTCCACACATACAAAAGGGCGCTATATTCTTCTAATTTTTTAAAAACTGTTATCATATCAGAAGCATTTTTTTATTTCTAATAATGGTTATAACAGAGATGTCACAGAATAGTTACTGTATCAGTATATTTACACTTAATTTATGTTGGCACAGCAATATTGTACTCTTATAAGCAAAGCAGGACGTATTCAAACACACAAGAACATGCTCTTATTTGTGAAGAAATATTTTTTTATATCTGACTTAACCATATGTTTGTTTATCCAAAAACAATTTTTTCAAATGAAATTGCCAACCAGTTTATATACAGGGTGTATCAGAATGATGTTTTAAAAATTTGGGGGATTATAGAGGATGAAATTTTGAATGTTTTGATATAAGGAACCTATAGCCGGAAATTTTAACTAAAGTGTCTACAGTGGTAGGAAGTGCTTGACCGCCCTTCACTTTGGTAGCTACCCTTCTGTCCATTGACATCATATTATTGCTGCGGATGGAAGACTGTAAACACACAACTACAGTGCTCTAACTGAGCCTGTGTACAGGACATTGTGTACTTAGTGCTTGCCATCCTTCAGGTCACCCCGTGCATCCACTGGCGCTGTGCTGTAAACACACAACTAGTTAACGTGAGTCCCTTGTGTACGCAACACTTATAGGAACTGTTCATGCACTTACAGAGCACATCTTTACAGCATTTAATACCATCAGAGGGGAGCGTGGCATCTTACAGAGGGTTGGACAAAACATGGTTTATCGTTGCACATTATGTAACGAAGTTGGTGGTCGTCACATTGAATATTTACTCTAAATTAGTGCAGCCACTGATTCAATGTACAGTTTGATTGTACTCTACTGTTTTGTCAATAAAACTTGTCATAAATACTGTATTCTGCTGTTTCATTCAGCATACTGACCACATAGAACGTGCAAAGTGCTGTAGAAACTTCATATCATATTTCCGGCTATAGGTTCCTTATATCAAAGTGTTCAAAACATGATCCCCCAAATTTTTACAATTTCCCCCAATCCCCCAAATTTTTAAAACGTCATTCTGATACACCCTGTATATATATCCACACATCAATCACAAGTTATGTTTAACACATTCCTATTTTATTAGTACTGTATTTAAAATTTGTTTTGCTGGTATATTAATAATGCTATGTCATTAAAAAAATTTTTGTTATTGAATACGTTTTTTAATGACATAGCATTATTAATATACCAGCAAGACAAAAATGTTCTGTATTTCTGTTATTTTAAATAATATGCCTAAAAATTATAGGCATAATGAATATAAATGATATTAAAAAGTTTTAAATATTATTTGAATTAAATATATGATCTATCCATTGTTGTAACTGACCCTCAAACATTGTGGACCATCTGTCTCCACACATGGTCTCTTGCAGCTTCTTTTAAGTCTGCCATGTTCATGCCTATATCAGTTGGCATTAACATGGCCGACTGAAGTTAGAATGTTTTCTGTTGGCCTGGCCTCCTCTTCCTACTGACCTGACTCTCAGGATATATCCAAAATATGTTAGAACTTAACCCAGAAATCACATACAAAGACTATCACTTCCTTGTTCACTAGCCAATTGTTATAAATCTCACAGTCCATGAGATTTATAACAATTGGCTAGATCACCAGAGTCTAAAGGCATTAATCCTCTTCCTGTCTGTCGTCTTCATTGTCAAACTTTCACTGCCATAGGTTGTTATTGGGAAGACAATGGCTTTGACTATCCTTCACTTTGTTAAGAGGCCTATGTCTCTGCCTTTCCATATTTTATTCATCCTAATCATGGTAGTGCATCCAAATGTTATCTATCTTTTAATCTCAAGTTTTGATTCATCATCTTGATCAATCTTAGATCCAAGAAATTGAAATCTCTGACTGCTTAAATTTCTTCATCAACTTTAATTTCAGTTTTGCTGTTAGCTGGTCATGCTCTTGGTTTTTTATATTAAAATAAACCAGTTCTTTGATTATGTTTAAGAGTTATTTCAGATCCTTTTTGCTTTCTACAAGTTGAAAGACAATGCATATTGAGCAAATTCATTATTAGATTTTATCATTAATACTTAACAAGAAATTATTATAAAGAAACAAATGATCAATTTGATCAAAAAGTTTTGCATTTCTTGCAAAATCTAGATTGAAATCCTTGCTACTGTATTTGATAAATAATGATATTCAATGATCATTTCAATTTATAAAAATTTTTTTTGTTTAGCTCAACGTCAACGTAAATTGATACCATTGATGTACAAGCCTTGTCCTATGCCTACATTATTGAAATATGTTTCCAAAGTTGATTTTACTAAGCCTGATGTTTATGATTGGATTTGGAAGAAACTATTGATTTCAATCAAAGGAACACTTAATGACAACGTTGCATTACCATCTCCTACTTTCTGCCACCCTTTATATTTGGCTTCTCAGACATGCTATCCAAATTTCACTCATCAGAGTCTTCCAATGTTGACTCTACCTAATCGAAGTAGATCGAGAAGTATAAGTCCACAACCAAGCACTATGACTTCATCCTCTCTGGCAGCATCCACATCATCTCTTTCAGTTTCTTCAGCAACTAATACTGTTTCTAAAAGTGTTTCTCCAGTTCACAGGCGTAGATGGTTAACAAAATTTTCTGAAATATTTAGTTCGTCATCATCTCATAGTAATTCTGGAAACACTTCCAGTGGCTTTCATAGTCAGAGTGATTCTCATCTAGTTTCTAATGATATTGTAGAGCAAATGGTTTAAAATAATGTAGATCAAATGACTTTTAATTTCATTAATTGCCAAACTTTATATATAATGCTTATTAAACATTGAATTAATGTTAATAAACATTATAAAATCATATATTTCATATTAAAGATTTTNACGTCCTCCAAGATGCATCCCCCTTGTGTTGTCTTATACCACCAAATCATTGAAACCATAGCGAAAAAGTAGTGAGTGATAGCCGAGCGATTAAGGTATTGCCCTACCACTGGGGAACCCAAAAACAAATCCTGACGGTCAAAAATCTCTGGAATTTTTTGGGGGTGGGCCGTTCCCGTCCCTAATTACTTAGCCATCCCATTGTCAGCCACACCGGTCTTAATTTAAAAAGGTCGTTTTGATATTCTTAAGGCTAAAGGAATAAAAAATAAGTAGTTTTGATTTAATCAAAGTATCAGATAAAGATACTAATCATGGATGGAAATCGGCAAAGAAAAAAAGAAAATATGCTAGTGAATATACAAGAACTACAGGAAGAAAATGAGAATGGAATAGACTAATTAGAATTCATTATTAATAAATGACCTTAATAATCCTTTCTGATCATTTTATTTATTGATTTGAAGATTTATTAGATGATACATTTCTGAAGATAAGATTGAAATCCGATCAAACAAATGTCAAACTAAGAAATCAATAAGCCAATATATTTATTTTTAGGATGAAGGATATTCACCTAGAAGTGCTCTTACAACACTCACTGTTACTGTTCTAGATGCTGATGATCAAAATCCACAATTTTCTGCTGAGCGTTACAAAGCCAGACTTCCAGAAAATCCACAACCTGTTCAGTTTTCATTTTTAATATATTTTTAATAAATTATATTTACAAAACTTCAAGAAATTTTAGTAAAATATTTTAAAATAAAGAATCTTATCTATTTAAAATTTTGAAATATTTAGGGTTCAAAACTTTTGATGTTACCAACATCTATTTCAGCAGTAGATCCAGATGAAGGAATAAGAGCATCCATAGAATATAGTTTCCTTGCAAGTAAATGTTTTGCTTAGAGTTTAAATATTTTTTACATGAAGAATATTACTTTTAAAAGCTTTAATATATTTCTAGATAATGGGGAGACAGCTTATTTCAATATAAATACAAGAACTGGTGAAATAACACTTAAAAATAGACTTCCTGTCAATTTTAAGCTTCCAGTTACACTTGTTGTACGTGCAACGCAAATTGATAATGAGGATAGACAATCCCTTACAACTGTACAAATAAGCGATGGGAAAACTATCTTAAATGAGTTTAGATTTCTACATACCATATATGATGCTAAAGTTTTGGAGCATACACCAAGAGGAATTGTTGTTGTAACTTTACAAACAATAAAATCCTTAGAAACAGTAATTATGATGACATAAAATTTGATATGTGAATTTATTTTAAATAAATATATATATGACTTTAAAATATATTTTTAGGATGCAAAATTTCGCATTGTTGAAAAACAAGAAAACTTTTTAATATCAAATTTGTAAGTATAATTTTAAATAGTAAGAAAATAGCTAATCATAACAATAACATTAAAATAATAGAAATAACTAGGAATAAAATATTTAATTAAATAAAAATAAGCCTAATAAATCATCATTGGAAAATATAGTTGAAGGCAAGAGATTTTAAAAATATAATCAATATATATAGAAACACAATATCAGTAATTAGAATATATCTTTAGAAAATTGTCTAAATATGCTTCATGGAAACAGTGGAGAAGTGATGATTGCCAAACCTCCAGATTATGAAGCAAAGAAGCATTTTCTCTTCCATGTAACAGTTTCCGATGGACAACAGGTATTGTTAATATTTGAAAAGCTTTGAATTAAATTTTAGCTTTAAATCATGTTTTTTTTTTCTTAGCATGATATTACTACAGTTAATATAACAGTATTGGATATTAATGATCATAATCCCACCTTCTTGCAACCTTCTTATTTTTTTGAAGTGAATAATCCTATGATTAGAACTGGAACAGTATTGGGAAAAGTAGAGGTAAATGAAAATCTTTTTTAAGATATATATGCATTTCATGTTTCTCATTTATTTTAAATATATATATCAAAATAAGTCAAATATCTTTAATAATTATTTAATAATAAATAATTTTATTCTTGTAACTTGTATAAACTGCAACTTACCTTTATGCTACAGCTTATTTATCTTTTAATTAAGCTAAAAATACTGAATTGGATAAATAATTAAGATGTACAGTTCTGTACTTATTATTTTTTATCTTTTATCAAAGTACAAGAAAATGCCTATATCATAACATGATTTTAATTATGTTTTGTATGATAGATGAATATAATTAGTTTAAAAGAGAATTTGATTTGATAGAGAAATTTTTAATGTTATTTTTCACAGAATGTAATAAAATTCATTAATTTACAATAATTAAGCAATTAATTTTTTGATGATAGAGGCTCTCGTGTATCATAGTGAAAGGGGAAAGATTTACTTGGGCCTAATTACAACTCTAAATTATAACATACAAACAACCTTTTCTCTCTATCAAATTATTTATTTAAATATTTAAAATTAAGAATTTTTAAGCAATTTATTAAAATAAAATCAAAATATTATAAATTTTAATTTTATTGTTTATTTGTATATGGCAATTGACAATGAGCGATTTGCCAAAGGGGAATGTCTCTCAGTAGAACTTTCTATGGGAAATTGGCCCCTATTTAGGTGTTATAACCATTAGAAAACTCAGAAAACTCCACGTGGCCATCCTATTGGTAAGATGACAACTTCCAGTGTTTAGTGGTTCTATCCACTCAGGCACTGTAGACTCCCTTTTTAGGTTAATATTTATTAACGTTTGATTTATTAAAACAATTACAACAATAGAATTAGAACAAACAATAAAACAATTACAAGAATTATTGGAAGAAATATCTAACAATACAAAAGAAATAAAGAGAATTTAAATTTGAAATAAATTATAAAAAAAATTAATTATAAAAATGTATTCTAATTAAAAATTTATAGGATAAACAATTTCTTACAATTGGAATTGTTTTTATTATAATACTAGCAGGTAGGCCCGGCATTGCTCGGGCAAAAGTAACGATAGCAAAGATTAAAATTATTACATTATAGTCAATCTTACCCATTTTCACAGAATGCAAGAATTGGGTCTTTCTGTTTCCGGATTAATTAGAGAATTTTTAGATGAGTCTAAAAATATGCTTGATTTCCCACAAAAACAAAAAAAAAAATGCATCTGAGTCTTGCATGCCACTTTCTCTTGACAGTTCCACTGTTACTTGTCATTTCCATTGTTGATGGAAGTGTTAAGCCTTAGTCCTGTCCCTCTCCCCTGTGGGGAGGAATTTAGAAAAATTCCTTCTTAGTGCATCTTTTTGTGATGTACCCTAACTGTGTACCAAATTTCAACTTTCAACTCCTAACTGTTTGGGCTCTGCGCTTATTATTATCGTTATCAACCCATCTCGATTATATATTAGATAAATAATTATTAATTTTAAAAAAATAATTCGTATATTATAAAAAAGATATCCATAATCTTTGAGTAGAAAAAATTTGAATATATTAGAACATTAATTCAATAGGATAAAAATTTAAATATAATTCACCAATTTCTTTGAAGCAACTCACATTCATTTTAAACAAAGAGAATGACATGCAAAATATTTTCCTAAAAAGTAAATTTTTCTTCTTTATCTAATAGCTGTAAATACTACATCTCATTAAATATGAAATGAGAGATAACTACTTACATTTTATGTCAGTAAATAGTTTTATCTATTAATTTATATTAGTATCATGTCTAGATTAATACTTTTGCTGACAACTGACATGATTTTGCATCATGTGATAACATCCCAATATGCTAATTATGCATTTTTGGGACATTCAGATGCTGGCATTTACAAACATACCCAAACAACCTTAAAATGCAACAATACGTTAATAACCAAAACATTTTCAATCATTTTTAATGATCTTCCTCAAGTAGAATACATAACAGAATGCCATACAAAAGTTTAAACATTTACATTCTAGAAATCAAATTCAAACATTGTGATCAGACCATTAACAAATCATAAAAAGAATGCCTCATTTCAAACTAATTCGAAAATAATAACTCAATAACATAAAATTAATACCAAACAAACATAATCAAGACATTTTAGTGTTTTATATGCATTTGTTTAGTGTGTAAATTTGTCAGCCATTTTTAAAAGAAATTATGTAGTTTTTAATTGTTTTGCTTATCACCTGTAAACTTTTTAAACTGTTTTTGCATATTTTGCAGAGGTGTAGCCTCTGAAAAAATGTTTCTGCAATGGAAGACTGTTGTTCCTGGTGATTTGACTTGGTGAAAATCAAGACATGTTAGTCTTTTCTATGTATTTTTTTAAATAAACAGATAACTACAATAACTACAAAAATAAATAAAATAAAATAAAAATTTAAACTGTGAACCATAGCCATCATAGGGCTTCAAGTCACTTGCACAATGGGTATTTGAAAAAGGACTTCCATGCTGCTGAGAGAGTTAATATTCTTTAAATTGGCAGAATGACCCAACACAAAGCATAATAAAAATGGTTGTTTAAACTACATTTTATGAAATATATGATTCTCAACATTATTTAATGAAGAATTTGTGAGCCATTATGAAAAATTTAAATTAAAACTCCAATATTTATGTATTGTACCACATAATCCAAACATATTGATATGACTCAGTAAAAAAGAATTTCATTTTTTAATAATGAAAACTGAAATTTTTTAAACTCATAGAATATCTTTACATTTTCACAAGTTAAGATAAATTGTAAAGGAATTTATAGTCTAATGCAAATAATCTAATATGAAAACAATTATTATAAATACTTGGATTTTTCCATGCAATGGTTAACCTTTATAAAATTATGAAATGAATTCTATAAAATTTTTCAGGCAATAGATGAAGATACTGAAAACACAATAAGATATTCTTTGTATGGATTTCATGCCAGGTACTGTACATTTACATTTCAGATTAGTTAATTTTAAAAAATTATGTGGTTGAACTTTAATTTTTATATTGTATAGTGCATTTTCAATTACAAATATGGGAGAATTGCAAATTGTTGATGTTGATGCCATTAACACAACTGTATGTTATTTAATGGCTATTGCAACTGATGATGGTAAACCTGCTAGACATTCAACTGTACCTGTGACTATTAAATTTCCAGAAGCTTTTATTTTTCAAAATCTTATCAAAAAAGATGATTCGTACATTCTTACAATTGCTTTTGGTGTACTGCTTGGAATTTTATTTATTGTAATTATTATTCTTATTATTTACATTATGAAATAGTAAGTTGTTATTATTTAAAACTTGATTATTATTAATTTTAAAATTAATAAATTAACTTTCCTCAATTATTTTTATTCTAGTAAAAATGATCGTGAGAATTCAATTCAAATTACCAATGAAGAAATAAACAAATTTACTGTCAAACCAATTGAAGAAGTAAGCAGTAGTGATAAATTAATTAGTAATAATAGTGAAACAGATAGAGTTCAAGATAGAAGTGGCACTCCAACTTCAGTTCCAATGAATAGTTTGGAAGTTTATACAAATGGAAAAAGAAGAGAATTACATCATACATCACCATATAAAGTGACTATGAATGGATTTATGAGAAATTCAGAAAGTGCTATGTCGAATTATCCAAGTATTCAATGGCCAAATGGATCAATTCCTCAAAGAGTAAAAACAATTGGCTGGGAAGCCGATTCTTCTACAAAGGCAAGTTAAATTTTATTAAATCATAAAATATTGATTCTACTATTAAAAAACTTTTCATATCATGCTTAAATTATTTAAATAAGTATAAACAGATTTTCTAATTAAACTAAAAGATTATAATATGTATATATTACTATTAAATTTTTAGATTGGTGATGCTGAAGCAGATAAAGAACAAGAAGCTGAAACACGAACAACTTTAAAATTAGAAATTTTTGAACAAACAAGTACAGATGAATCATGATATTAATATAAGTAAATGCTTTTGCTATTTATTACAAATCTGTGATAAAAGAAAGAGAAGAAAAAGATGATTCATTCATATTGTGAAGTACAGTACATAAATTGCCAACATATCATATTCCATAAACTTTTTACAGTCTATTTACAAAAATATACTCTACATTTTATAAAATACTACATTGTATTTTGTTTAATTATGCCACATTTGAACACATGTAAAAAAAATTGTTAAAATTTATCAGCAAGTTCTAATTACTGAATATTTTATTTTATTTAATTTTAGATGCATAGTTTAAAAAACAAGTTATCCTTTTATAAAAACTGCAAGTAATCTACAGATTATTTTTACATAAAATTCTGTTGAAGAAGTTCTGTTTTCCTTAATTGTATTTTTAATAAGAAACGTATCTTATGTGAAATATTTTTCCTGCAAAAATTTGAATATGATTTGTAAAGACACTTTTTGATAACTACAAAATACTGACAGAATTTTCTATTATTTGTAGCATGTATTTTTATGTATTGTCAATGAACTTTTTTCTATAATGTTTTGAAAAATTGATAGCATATAATGAAATTTGTTTTTCAAATTTAGCAATACGTTATCAATAAATTTTTTAAAATCAATATTTATTGAATACATTCGAAATAATTAGATGTGCTTCAAGACAAATTTTCAATTCCTAACTGAATTTATTTTTAGTATACATTAACAAAAATATTTAATAAACAATAGTAATGTATATAAAATTTGTTCCTTTGTTTAAGAGGTTATAATAGGAAAAAATTTTTTAATTAAAATTGTCGTGTTGGCATTTGTATACAGATGCTCCAATACATACGAACAGGTTAAACTCCAGAGGTTTTGTCATGAGTTAAAAACTAACTTAGAAAGTACACAGAATAACCATGTATTGTTAGTGTTTGATCCTTCAGTGTACTTAATAGAATACATTATGCTTATTTGAAACACCTGCTACTGCTTAGTAGTTGGTGTTTCAAACAGTTTTTTTTTTCCACCTAATGCATTTAGTTTTATAATGTCAAGTTTAGTTTCCACAACAATAAAGCCACACTTCTTGCATTTGTCTCCACTGCTAGATTTACTATTTTGTTTTGGATTTATTTCTGAAACACTAATTGTAAGTTTAAAAAATTGCAAATAGTGAAAAATGCTGTTACTCCAATGTGACCAACTTTGATGCCACCTCATGAGCAGTGATGGAACATCAAGAATTCACACAAAAACAAAATATGATGAAACAATGGAAATAAATCTACATTATTTATTTATTAAAAATTTATTATTTATTACTGGCTAAAGACTGACTTCAACACCATCCCACAACCAGCAAGAGAACTTCAGAATTCACACAAAATTTAAGTTTTAGATATACAGTCAAATTGTTCACAAGTCTGAAAACTTCGAAGTTGAATGTTCGTAAGTATGAGCACCTGTATTTAATATACCAATAAATTATAATTTAAAATATTGTCAACAACTAGTAAATGATTTATAGTTGGTTATAAAATATATTTAATGAAAGAGTGTATGTAAATGTTTACAATCTAATTCCATAATCAATAAACCAATGATCAATTTAACAGACTAAACAATAGTAAATGTTAACAATCTAATTTATCTTACAAGTTAGTAAAAATCATTAAAATACCTGCTCATACTTTAATCTCCATACTCATATAATGTTTATATATAAAGTTTTCTTTTCCATGATCTTTCTAAGCACAGTTTGTTCAACAATTAGGAACTTATTATTGACACAAATAAAAAATATTTTAAAGTCAGTCTAAACACGATTTATTACACTGTCATAAAACGAGTTTAATTAAATTGTCCAATATAATTAATTTAATTTTTATAATCATAATAATTCCTGATCATATATCACTATATCTTTGCACGTCTTAAGTAATTATTAGGATTTATCTTGGGTCTGCACAATATTTATTTATTGCTATTGATAGCATGAATACAGTATCTAAAGCTTTTTTGTTTAAATCAATCAATCAGTCTACCACTGCCAGCCTAAAAATAATTTGAAGAAATATCCAAATTCTTTTAGCAATATGAATATTACTTAATACAATTAATCAATCAATCAGTCTTTACAGTTATCAAATCTATTATTGACCTTGCAAATTTAAGTGAAAGAAAATTATTTTTAATGTATTCAATTTTTATATTGATATTAATGTTTTTGTACTTAGACCATTTAATGAATTATATAATTTTATAAAAAATTTAGTTTAATAATATTCTTTTCTTTATAAAATGATTGCAATTTTGAATTATTAATAAAATACTATTTGAAAATCAATTGTTATTTTCTATTAATACTCAAATATATTTCAGTTTTATTTTACAGTGACTTTAAATGATTTACATATATAGAATAACAAAAAAAGCTGCTTTGTTGGAGTGAACTCCAATACAGTAGAGCCTCGAAAACTCGGCCTAATGTGGACCGAAGGGTAGCCGAGTTTGTGAAAATGCCAGGTTATCAGGAATGGGGTTAAAAAAATAAATACGAGTGTTTCCTCAGAAAATACTGTACTGTACTTGTATGTATTGTTTACTTGAGAATACAACAGAGAATAAACTGCCCAAATACCCTTAAACAAAGGAAAAGTACGTCCTTTATGAAGGCATAGAGCCTTTACTACATGAAAATGAAAATTAATGAATATGTTGTGTACAGTAATTTACCTGATAAGACAGACCTCAGAAAAATACTTTATGAGGAATAAAGCTGTCTATAATGAAAATTAATTAATTAAGGATTTTTTTGCCCTGCCAAGGTGTGGCCGAGTTATCCAGAGTGCCGGGTTATCGAGTGCCGAGTTTTCGAGGCTCTACTGTAATAGGTTTTATTGATAGCTGAACAATTAAGGTGGCAGCCTACTAACTCGGACCTGGGATTGAATCCATACAGGTCAAAAGACCTGAGAAATTTTTTGGAGTAGTCCATCCAGACCTGTTGGAACCCATAATGGACTTGGTTGAAAAAAAGGCCCTCTTTAATGCCCAGTGCAGAAAGAGTTAAAGAAAGAAAGAAAAGTTTTTAAGCACTTTATCTAAACAAGTGAATTTGCTTGTCTAAGTTTTAGCATTGAGATGAGCCAATATAAAAGATGTTGATTATGTAGTTATTTTATCAAATATGTAACTAAATGAAAAGTAATTATGTTCAATATGACTAATGCATTACACTATTAACTTCTTTTCAGTTGTTATTAGGTATACAACTTATATAATAACAATGGCTGGAAAGGACTAGGACCTAGTATCCATCCAGAATATTGTGAATGACTTTAAACATGGAATTTTTTAAAATAAATGTCTCTCTCTGATGATAGTGCGTCCTTCTCATTCTTTTGATACTCTTGGTTAGTAAGTGGCTGTAGAACTTAATGGTGTGACAAATTAGGGATATTGAACATTATAACTTTTTCTTTACTTGATAAAATTTGCATAAGCGATCCCAGATATAAAACAATAGAAATTAATCAAATTGCTTTATGTAGATATTATTAAATATAATGTTTACATTAATATTTATTAACTTTATAAACTTTACAAGTTAAACAGAATTAAAAATAGACTATTAAATATTGTAAAATACAATATATTACAAAATTTCAAGTTTTTGCATCAATATCCATAATAAATGCTTTAGCTAACATTTCTGGTGTTACAACTGTTTGCAGAAAATCTATAGAAAGAACAAAATGTAAAAATTCTTTAACAACATAATCTTTGATTCTAAACTTATTCATATAAAAATATTCTTACCACCAATTAGTTGCATTGGAGGTTTAGATCCACCATGAGCTAACACTTCCCTCCTATAACGCTCTCCTGCAGCACGATTCAAAGGATCATCTTTAAAGATGGAATGCCAAATCTGAGCTGCAATTGCTCTTGACATTGTATATGCATAATATTTTGCTCCATAGCCAACAAGATGACCAAATCGCAGTTGCCATGCCTTAAAGATTTCATTATACTTACTCATAAAAGTTTTATTTTATGTAAAATAATTATTTCATTACTACTCACTGTATGAGCTACATGAGGAAGACCATAATAACTTTGTTGTACTTCTTTTAAAATTTCAGTAGTTGATTTACCACTTTCGGGTTTGTTGTGATACTTCTGATCCAAAGCGGCATAAAACACTTGAAGTTGAGCTTCGGATGCAGAAAATAAATTTTTGGATAAACTTAAATTTTTAAGTAGAGATTCAGGAATTGGTTTACCAGTCTCGTAATGGCGTGCAAATTTTGAAACTACCTAAAGGTTTCAAACCTTGTATTTATTTTCTTAATATATGAGGAAGTTGTATGTAAACAGTAAAACTTACCCTAGGATCACTTGCAAAATATTCCATGAGTATAGATGGTACTTCTGCAATATCGGCAGAGCAACGAGTTCCTGTTACATGCTGATATTTTGTTCTTGCCAACATTGAATGCATAGCATGACCCATTTCGTGAAACAAATTATCAATCATATTTGGTGTCAACAAGGAGGGTTTAGACCAAGTTGGTGATGAAAAATTCAACATTAAAACTACAACTGGAATCTTGAATTAAACAGAATTAAATAAAATTTTATAGTAGTCGATTTGTGTGTGTCTATTTATTTAAAGAGCAAAATTATAATAGTTACTTGATATGATCCATCTTTTAGTAGACGTCCACCTTGAATGGTGAAATGACAGTCTTGGTTAGGTTTATCTTTACGTTCAAAAAAATCACAATAAATATACCCTAAGAGAGTACCATCTCCTTCCCAGACAGACTACAATAAAATTTAATTTTACTATAATTTTTAATAATAATAATAATAAAATGACTTACAAGTTTAATAACATCAGTATGCCAAACTTCACCATTCTTCACATTCTCTACTTTTAAAGATATATCATATAAGGATTGTAAAAGATAATTAATTCCATCCATGCAAACACCAAGTGAAAAATAAGGGCTAAAATCAGACCCTTTAATCTGGAATCTATATTAATGTTCATTGTAATTATTTAAATTTTACAAAAAAATTATTTACTCAAAATTAAATTTACCTTTGTTGTTTGGCTAAAGAAGTATAATATGGAATATCCCATGGTTTTATTTCCTATAAATATTATTATTATATAAATTATTTTAAACAAAGATTACAATTAATTTACAAAAAAAGCATTTAATTGCGTAATAAGACACTTGCCTAAACAATATTTATAATTTAAATAAAAATAAACTTCCTGTAAGACAAGTTCTAAAAGAATCAAATTAAATACATTAGCTAGAGTTATAAAATCAGTATTATAGATATTTTGGCTTTGATATCCTGATTTAATCAAATACTATTATTAAATTTAAATACTCTTAATCAAGATTTAATTTTTGGAATATAAAAAAAATTGATAATTTGATATTTTAAATTATTTGAATGCAAAAATTATTTCTTAATTGAATAAACTAATTACACACAACATATTATAGAAATTCAAATTTCAATATTCTTTCAGCAATTTTTATTGTAAATCTCTTCAATTTTTAAAACATGATGAATCTGAGACTGATTGTTGTCAACTGATGTCTTGAATAATAAATCCAGGAGTGTATAAATAAATTAACGTGCAAAATTGAAGATGGTCTTAATCAACAACAGCTGCCAGCACATAAATTAATATTCAAATTTAAATGATCATTAGAAATTAAAGATTTAGACAGATTTAAATCCAGATCATATGACCAGATAAAGCATAAGAATGAAAATCTCATCAGATTTTATGATGCACTCATTCAAATAAATTTGAAGTAAAACTAGAGAAAGAATAATTTAAACATAAATAATAGTTAAAACTTCTCTCTATGAATCAATTATATACAAAACTTCATAAATATTTCTGCTTGATTAATGCTAACTGAACAGATTTTTGTTTTCATTTTTCAAGTTTTCTCATAGATTTACATAAATAATAACTATGAGATCGTGTTTTCTTTTTACATTGTTATATTGGAAATGCATTTGTAAAAATTTAACTTTTTAATTGGAAAACAGTAGAGCATCAATTATCTGAAATAATTTGGGACTGGGATTGTTCGGATAATCGATTGTATGAAAAAATATATTAACCTATCCCATGTTGAAATTTGTTCAAATCCTGGCACGTCCTTAAATACCCTCTCATGATTGTGCCAGTGCTGCCAGCTAAAACACGCACACCAACAAAAATAATATTGGAGTAGCCCAAGACATAGATTGCAGCGCCACAGCATTNTGGAAATGCATTTGTAAAAATTTAACTTTTTAATTGGAAAACAGTAGAGCATCAATTATCTGAAATAATTTCAAATAATAGATCACACTTGGCAGGAAAAGAATAAGAAAGATAAATATGAATTAAAATTAATAGTTTTCTTTATTTTAGTATAATAGTAAAATAGGTTAAGGAATAGAAATTTAATACATATGAATGATAAGTAATCACAAAAAAATTGTCTAATTTATTAAAAAACAACACTATTCTCATTACAACAATCTACAATGAACTAATGAAAGTTTTGGATTCAAAGTAAAAAAATCCATAATAGTAAAATTAATATTAAATAAACTACAGCACTCAAATAAAAATTACTTATTACAGTTCTCTTTTTGAAATAAGTCACATATTTTGCTTCATTTATATAATTTCTTTCTTTTTAACTCTGCTAAATTCCTGGCTTGCTTGATTATCACAAGAGGGATTTAAAAATCTGCTTCACATTGCATTTCTAATTATGTCAACATTGTTTCTAATGAATTTAAGGTATTAGAAATCTATGACTTTTTAAGTCAAACTTTTCTATTTGTACTTAATAAATAAAACTTAATACTATAGTAAGTTCAATGAGAGAATAAAAATTTAAAGGTTATTTTGCATTATTAATTGGTCACTTTAGAGTGAACATGACATAATAATTGTTGTATGTTTCTGTCTTGTTAGTATATAAATTCATTACTTTTTAAAATAAAAATAATAAAATTAGAATTATAGATTTCAATAAATAAGTAGAGTAGAGCATCGATTATCTGAATCAATTGGGGACTGGGGTTGTTTGGTAAATCGATTATGTACGAAAAAATATATTAACCTATCCCATGTTGAAATTTGTTCAAATCCTGGCACGTCCTTAAATACCCTCTCATGATTGTGCCAGTGCTGCCAGCTAAAACACGCACACCAACAAAAATAATATTGGAGTAGCCCAAGACATAGATTGCAGCGCCACAGCATTAGTGGAAATTAAAATTTGCTAACTGGAAAGCTTTTGCTTAATTGATGTTTCAGTTGATCGATATTTGGATAATCGATGCTCTACTGTAGTCTTAAAATAGCATTAAAAAATCTTAACATTACTGTCATTAATTTTATATTATTTATGTCTCAAGAAGTTATGATTAATATTTTTTATATTTTTGCCTTTATTATATTTTTATTGAACTAATTAACTGTTTTGATTCATTTCAAATGTAATAAATGGAAATTAAACTTCAGCTTTATTTTTCTTTTTCATTTATAATATGCAATTGTTTTATTAAATTGAGCACCTTTTATCAAAATGTTTTAGTTCTGAAAAGACTTTAAATTATGCACAATTTAAGAATTTCTGTTATTCCAAGATCATCCTACTACTACAACTACCAGAATCACTAAAAACATTGACAATAAATGGTTCGATATGCTCTTCAACTAAGTGGTCCAATTCCCCATATATCAATAACTGTTCAATATTCAAAATATGTTTAACTGCACTTTTTTTTATTTAATCACAATCATCTCACATTTTGATGATAATGACTGTTAAAGCTCTTACTAATTCTTTTGAATGATAAGAAGCATTATCCATAATTACAAATTTTTCTACAATATTTGGCATAAGCTGTTCTTCAAATCACATACGAAAAGAAACATTGTTCATTACATCATGATAATTACTAGAGTTTGTTTTTGAACAAACTAAAAATTTGGCATTTGGTACAAAACCATTCCAGCATGAAGTAAAATTAATTGACCTTTACCAATAGGAATCACAAATAAATCTACCATCATTCCACTGTTTACTGTTGCCATGATGTTCATTTATCCATGTTTCATCTAAATAAATAAAAGCATCATCTGACAGTTCTTTATATTGTTTTATTTACCTTAAATAACTATGTCTATGTGCAACAATTTCTGGTTTTTTGATATAAAATTTCTTATCTATTTTACCATATTTTAAATTCAGCTTTTTTGTGTTAAAATATGATACAATGAAGCTCTACTGCCCATAAACAAAATCTTTTCATGTAACTTTTCTTTAACAAAAAAAAAAGTGTTGGATCATTATCTTCTCAAAATATTTTCAAAACTTTGGCATGAATAACTGATAAGTCAAAATTGTCCAAATCTGTAACAGGAGCTCTACATGATCATTTCTGGTATACAAAATATCAGTGATATAATAGGATTGTCAATACAGATACACTACTAGCTTAAGATGTTTCATTAAGATTGTAAGGAACCAAGTCCGTGCTTTATTTTAGTTTACTTTTACTTTGCTTTATTATATTTTTGTTTGGGGCTTATGTTTGGTTAGGACGAAGGTTTCCTCACCCACCACCCTAACGTTCAAAACAAAAAGATAAAAGATTAACCAACTCACAGACGACGAAACGATAGCGCCATAGCTAGCATTGCACTCACGTGCACGCCCTAGCGGCAGAATTGTAAGTCCGCACTGAAAGGGGGACACCCCAATAGACTTTCTAGGAACTTGTGTAACCTTAACAAAACATCCCGATAATTGTTAAAGAAATGCTGTAAAAGGTTAACAAAGTATTGTCGAGAAATAAGCTACCAGATAACGAAGAGAAAACAATGTTACGTGTAGATATGTAAATGAGGGGAGTGGCTACAGTAGAACTGTGACGTCACCTCATACTATAAGTACAGTAGCTCAAGTGAAGACAGAAGAGGTGAGCTCCTGAACCGAAAGCGTTGGTCTGCTGGTAGCAGTGAATAGGTGTCGAATAGGAAATCCTAGTAGGAGATTGAAGGTTCGATTTTGGTGATTTGGAAATAGGAAAGTCTTGAGTAGAAGAAAAGGTTCCGAGTATTAATTGAGGTGACGGTTAGGATTGATAGTTATAAGAGAATTTGTATCTAAGTTAAGAATTGGATTTTGTTTTGTCGGAATTCCAAGGGGAATAGTTCTAAGTTAGAATAAGACTTAAGTTTGTCGGGTTGATTTGTGATTTGATTTTTGATTAATAAATTTGTTGTTTGTTTATAAATCTTGTACATAGTATTGGTTAAACTTGATTAAACATTTATTATTATTGAGATTTTTTTGTGACTAACTTTGTCCTTAATTTATTTCGGTGCACGCTAAAAGTCCAGGCCTGGCAACTAACAAACGCAAACCCGTGTAAAGTACCCGTTAGGTCTCGGCTCTAAGAAAAATATCATTGTAGAGCAACAAATTAAAAATAGTACTTTACAAGATCAGAACATGATAAATTTTGAAACTAAAATAACTAAATGCATTAAACATGATAGCCCTAGCTTGATTGTGCAACATTTCACTTTACTTACCTACAACATTACCAGTCACCATTTTCTAGACTAAAGCATGATGTCATTACTATTCTTATTTGCTTTATTTTAATTTATACTGTTAAAATCTGCTTCATAATAATTTTAATAATATTTATATAACATTCAAAATACTAAGCAATTTTCAAGTAAGTGGAGAGTAATAAAATAGATCTTTGGGGATATGTTTTCAAAACAGTTATTGGACAATTGATTAGAGAATTTCAATATTCTATTGGACAACTTGAACTTTGCAATCCATCAGCTCCTTACAATATAAGGCATTTTTTTTCTTTCATTGAATAGACTGTAGTGTTGATAATGAGACAGCTCAATAGTGGACCTACAGAAGATTGCCAACATCATTACATAAAAACTTCATAATTTCTGGAATTAATACTCTCTGGTCTGGAATTTTTGGATAATTGATTTTCAGATAATTGACACACTACTGTATTTAATTAAGAGTCTAACTGAGAATATTATAAAAACAAACTTACTTCTGCATATTTGTTAATGGTTTTCTTCATTTTCAACATTTCATTATAATCAATATTTGCTCTAAAAATAAAATAATCAAACTATATGCTATGAATAGTTGTTATTTATTTTTATTATACTTCAAAAATAACAAATTGCAATAACAGTATAGTTAAGAATATGACTTCTGTATTAAATCTCATGAAGAATTATACAAATACAGTAAACCCCAGCTAACTCTAATAGGGGATGAAGATTGTTCAAATTTACAAAAGTCTGAGTTAGTGGAGGTGTTTTCTCTGACAATGTGAAAAACAAGGAAGTGCATATATACATTACAGTAATTTATTACAATCAGCTCTGATTACAGAAGTTTTACTGGGCTTTAGTACATTATACTGCTGAATTTATTATTACAGGATAAGTTCAAAAAATTTCATAATGGTACAATATACAGTCTTTAGTAACCCACCAACTTCAGTAATATAATGTATGGTATCAAAGACTTCCAAATATCAAAAACACTTGTTGGACTGCAATTTGAAAAAACTGTAGACCTATAAATTCCCACTGTTTACTGTCTGTCCTTCCTTAATCTTGAGAATGGAGTTAGATAGAGGAAAAATGGAACCAGATATGGAAAGCTTAGGGGCAGGAGGCACAAATTAACTATATACAAAATAACATAACTTCTGGTTTGCACCAGAAGTTATGTTATTTCAATTCAAAAATTTTCCCCTGAAATGAGTTAGATAGATTATCGGCATGACTCTATTATAACAGGAAAAGTATAATGTCTTACCCTGGTATATCATTTGAAGTGTTAATTTGCTAATTTGAAGTGGAGAGCATATATTTTTAATTAAATAAATTAAAAATATGATTAAAAATTGCAGCCCAGCATTGTGACAATGTCACAATAAATAACTGCTAGTTAATTATAACTTTTTGATTATCAAGAAATTTTAAATTACTACATAGTTTTTTGAAAAATTTGTCCAAATTATGCAAAGTACAAGTTAATGGGAGTTTATTGTACTATTAATTTTAAACTTTAGAATTTATAAGAAATATAAATCTAAAAAATTTTTAATCTATTGCACAAATTAATTAATTACCTAGATTTTAATTCATCAGAAATTGTTTGCAAAAACCTGTTAACTACAGAAGGATTTCCTGCTAAACTTCCATTTATTGCACGATGAGCATAAGTATCAAATCCACATAACTGAGCAAGTTGATATCGAGCATTTAGTAATTCTTCTAAAAGCTTTTCCTGATGCTCATCAGGAAAGAGAAAGATTTTATAAGCAGCTTCTCTGACCTATAACAAAATAAAGACATTTCTATAGAGACATTAAATATGTATTTCTTAATAAACTGACATTTTCTACAATTTTTTGTTACTTTACAATAATACAATTTACATATCTCTTATCCTTTAATTGCCTCATCAGCAAAAAATGACAGCAACTTGACGTAGATCACAATCTAAATACTACAAGGTGTCAAAATGTCAAACTGTTCAATTCAGGTTGAAAGGATGAAAAGTAAAAAATCCTGTTTTGAATACTTACAATTTCATTTGGAGAATCTGCAAACAATCCATTGACAAGTATACTGTCACCATCAGCTGAAAAACTAAATAAAATATATATTTTTAAATATATTAAAAAGATTGAACTTAAATTATCTCAGCGAAAAGTCAAAACTACATACCAATGACGTATATTTTCTGGAAGTTCGGATTTTAATACAGAACGAGGTTTTAAACTTCCATTCATAAAATGCGAACCGACATGGAGAATGTAAGAATTTAAATCTACAACAAGTTTCCTCTGTTAAGAAAAAGTTATTTTAAGTTAAAGAAAATATTTTAAAATTTTATAATAATATATTTATTACTTTATCAGATTCTAAATGAATTCCACTCTGTTCAAAATCAAACAAGAAAAGTTTAGCAACATGGTCATCTATTGGATCTGTAGGAAATATATCACCATTTTCAGAAACATCACGAACAACTTCATATAATTTTCTATTTGTGTTTAGCCTGAAAAGAGAAAGGAATGTAGAAAAGTGGAGGTATTTTTAAATTAAATTTTATTTCATTAAAAAACTCACTCTTCCACTAAACTTCCTATTGATATGGCAGCATTTTCTGCAGCATATACAAAACGTTTTTTTGGATGTCCAATTCTAACAAATTCTGCCTAGAATCATATAAAATACAATAAAAATAATTCTGTAAACTATCAGAAATTAATCATGACTTATAACTACAGATGCACAAATGATGATTTTGCTGGTAAAACCAACTGGTAATTAGTCAATTACTGATATTTTGCATAATTAATATATCACATAATATTGATTTTAATGTATTAAAATATTCTGAAATTATTCAAATTAAAAATCATCTTATAAAGCTAAATTGACTTCATGTAATCAATCACATTAAATGGAGTGGAAATAAACTTATTTACAGAAAAACAAAATGATGTAGACAAAAACAGACATCAAATATTTTAGCAGAAAAATCCACAAAATATATATAAATATTTATTTTTATAAGGCATAAAAGTTTAGCTCTTAACACTTTATAAGAATATTGTGGCATCCTACAGTTCATATTGAACATCTGTCTATATAAACAAACTCATTTGGCATCTGTGTATTTTAATGATGTTTATTATTAATTTACTCTGTATTATTTTAAATTACATTTTCTTATCTTACCATCATGTATTTATTAATAAAATTTTTTGTATACACAGTAGACCCCCCTATAACATGGGTTCCTATAATGTGGCCAAAAAATTGCGACAGTATTCGTATAAAGACGCTAAAAGGGACTCGTAAAACGTCGTCGCCGACTCGTATCACGACAGGATTGATCGAATCTGGACTAATAGTGGACGAGCAGCCAAACTACTTTCCGCCGTCCAGCGCCATGCTACAGAGAGTTTAGGCGAGTAAGTTAAGTTTACTATCGTCTGTACAGTATGTAAATTAGGTACCGTAAGTCTAATACAGTACTGTAATTTTATATATTTCTTGTGAAAAAAACATTTCTTATTCAACGGCCATTAAAATTATTTATATTAATGATGTCTCCAAAGTTCAACGAATTTTTCGCAGAAAAATAATTTATCAGAAATCGTGGCCACCATTTGGTGCACTGCTCCACAACGAAAACAAGCTTAAGCAATGGCGATGTTGAACGGTGCACACTCGGTAAGTAATCCTACAATTTTTTGTTTATAGCATAGTTTATACGGATTATTCCCAAAAAATTATACGTGTTTTGGAAATGTTGAGTTGAATTAGTCTAGAATCGATTAATTTTATGGAAGAAAACCTTTCAAACAGCCTTAGTCCGTAAA